TTTTGTTCCCTGGGCCTTGAGCGAAATCTACTCTCCGTAACCGAGCTGGGTGAGCACGGCATTTCAAGTACATTTAGCAGAACGCAGTGCCGCCGTTATCAACAGCTACGGCACTTGCGTGGCTGTCGCAGCGCGCCAAGGGAAGCTGTGGATTCTGAACGGCGAGACCGTCAAGAACCATGAAGACGCGGCGGCCATGTTTGTGGGTATATCAAGGACCACACTACAGCAGTGGCACGAGCGGCTCGGCCACGTAAATTTTCAAGATCTGCTTCGCATGCATTCGAAGGGCTTAACGAGCGACATGGAGGTACTGTCGAAGAAACTCCGTTTTTGTTTGACCTGTGCAGAAGCTAAACAGACGAAGAGTGCACAGCCGACAGCAGATACGTCGACATCAGCGCCGACGGATGAAATTGGTGCTGTCCTTGGGATCGATTTAAAGACGGACATGAATCCAGATCGAAACGGTAACAAGCACCTACTCACTATTGTTGACTACGGGTCAAGCTTCAATCGTGTGTACCTTCTCCAGTCGAAGAACGAGGCAGCTGAGCATGTGATGAATTTTGTGCCGGAATTCCAGCGCCAGTACGGCGTCACTGTGAAAGTTGTTCGCACAGACGGAGGTGGAGAGTTTCAAGGGCGAGAGTTTGTCGCGTTCCTCAAACGACACGGCATAAGGCAGCAACTAACACTTCCAGACAGCTCGGCCTCGAACGGCAAAGTGGAAAGGATGCACCGGACAATCATGAACGCCGGTCGTGCCATGCTGTGGGCGTCAAAGCTTCCCGAGCGTTATTGGGGTGATGCTGCCAGATACGCCTCCTACATCAGAAATCATCTTCCAACCCGAGCAAACGCAGATTTCAAAGCGCCGCTGCATGTACTGTTGGACAAACCACCCAAGGTGGGACATATTTTAAAATTCGGATCGAGCTGTACTGTTCACGTGGCGCACAAGGCAGGAGCTTCACTCAAGAAACGAGCTGAAAAGGGCATCGTAATTGGCGTCAGTGAACAGCAGAAGGGCTATCGGATTCTCATCCCACGGACGAAGAAGATCGTCGTGAGCGCGGATGTCCAGAACGTAGACAAGCTCGATGTGAGTGATAATGAGGCTAGAACAACACTAGCGGAGCTACATGGTGAGTCAGGCGCCGAAGGTAGTACTGACGCCTTTGATTCTACAAAGAAGAACTACGACGAAAATCCAGCCAATCAAGCTGGTGATCAAGGTCCGAGCGGCGCTGACGAACTGGATAATTCAAGTCCCTCTCTCCGTTCTTCAAAAGTCGGGATGGTTCTCCGCTCACAGAACCAGAAGCGCAAGAAGCAAAGCTCGATCGACGCTGCAAGCGACAGTGGTGAAGACGAGTACGCTGGCAGTCCCGTCAGCGCAGCAGCCATTCGTCGTGTGTTTGGTACGCGCAAGAAGTCAAGAACCGCAGACTTCTCATTGCCCCATGACTTGATCACGGGAAGTTGCCGGTTTCAGCCAGCCTGATGCTAACAACCGCAATGACCAAGATGATTACCCCCAGAAATCTAACAGAAGCCATGGCGACGCCTGAGTGGCCTGAATGGAAGGCAGCAATCGAGAAGGAGCTAGCTGACCTTCAAGCGAATGGTACATGGGAAGTTGTGCGAGCTCCAGCAGGAGCAAACATGATATCGTCGAAGTGGGTATTTCGCATTAAGTTCAACAACCGAGGCGAACTCGAGCGCTTTAAAGCTCGATTAGTTGCAAGAGGTTTTACGCAGCGATATGGGATTGATTTTGACCAGACCTATTCTCCAGTACTCAAGATCACCAGTCTTCGTCTACTCGTGGCGCTTGCGGCTCTATGGAAGCGTCGGTTGCGTCAGGGCGATGTCCCTAACGCGTATGTCAAGGCTCCACTAGACCGCCCAATCCTGATGAAGCCACCTAAAGGCACCCCAGTAGCGAACGGCACAGCGTGGCTATTGCTCAAGTCACTGTATGGTCTCAACCAGAGCGGGTTGCTCTGGAACCGGGAGATGAACGCGTTTCTACTGTCGCTTGGCTTCACTAGAAGCAAGATGGACCCATGTCTCTACTTTCGTCGCTACAATAGCAAGCTGACCTTGCTGGGTCTCTATGTGGACGATGTGATTATCGTCAGTGAAGTTGATGCTGATAGTGACTGGGTAATGCGACAACTCGGCATCAAGTTTGACATTAAGGACATGGGCGTGGCTGCTAAATGTCTTGGTATCAGTATTGAGCACACTAACGACGGCATACTGCTTCACCAGCACGACACGATCGAAGAACTCCTCCGCGAAATGGGGATGGCCGAATGCAGGCCTGTCAGCACGCCCATGGACCCATCAATCGCATTCGACGACGATTTGATGATGGAGCAAACCACGATTATGAGACGGGCAATCGGGTCTCTGCTCTGGATTTCAAACTGCACTCGCCCCGATATTACTGCAGCTGTCAACTATTTGGCTCGTTTCGTTGCTCGGCCACGTCAGAGCCATTGGCAAGGCGTTAAACGCGTACTTCGTTATCTACGAGGAACGACAGCGTTTGGACTTAACTACAAGTACGGGCAAGGTGTCGGCTCGAAGGTAGCCGTGACAATCTACAGCGATGCTGACTGGGCCGGCGATAGTACCGATGCCAAATCTGTCTCCGGTGCTGTATTGATGGTGAATAGCTCAGCAATTTCGTGGGCTTCAAAGAAGCAAGCATCGGTCGCGCTGTCGACCATGGAATCTGAGTATGTTGCGGCCGCTATGGCGATGAAGGACGCTGTATGGGTCAAGCAACTACTGGTCGAACTTCGACTATGGACAGCGAAAGAAGCTGTCCTGCTGCAGGTTGACAATCAATCTGCTATCAAATCGATGACGAACGAGATGTCAAGTCCTCGAACAAAGCACATCAACATAAGGTATCATTTCATCAGAGACGTGATTCAACAGGGCGATGTGACGGTAAAATACTGCCCAACTCAACAACAGATCGCCGACATTATGACCAAGCCACTGCAACGCATTGTGTTCGAGCGTCTACGGGATCAGCTTCACATGGTAAAAGTGGTCGATATGGCGTAGCTTTTGAGGGAGGCTGTTGCAGATGGCAAAACTCTACCCATTTCTCCGAAACCAGCTGGCCCAAGATCTTGTGGAGGCGTCCAGCTCGAAGAAATCAAGCCACGACAAAGCTGCCAGTGTCGTGGGTGAAAAGCAGCAAGCGACTAGAAGAAGGTGGGCACCGAAGGTGTCCACAGCGAAATCAGAAGTCATGACTGGCGCTGTGGAAGATTCAGGCTGCACAAGTACCTGGCTGGTGATGGCACCAGCATCGAAGGCGGAAATGTATGTTTTCCATGTACAAGTTACTCTTTGAAGCAGGCAGAGAAGCTAGAGAGAAGCTAACCAATTTGAATTCACTTTCAGTTTTACATTCTACTACTCAGATCAACGGGTCTTCTAACGCAGCAAATTCCTCACCGGTTTCTGAAAGTGCAAAAGTCGTCTCCTAAAATGTGAGGACGTGACACGATTGCTTCCTTGTTAATCATGTCGTTTTCCAAAAAGGCGAGGGAGATCTTCACACGAAGACAGATTTACGTTGGGACCCATCGGTACAGCAGCCGGAACATGCATGCTGACGTCTTGTCCTACGCCAACTCCAGCACCCACCGGAACCACCACCAGCACGTGAACTACGTCCTCTCCTAACGAAACGTCAGGCCCGAAAAGGGTCGGCTTGCTTAGCTTCCACGACGCACGCATGTGCAAATACGATGAAGAGTCGATTTCGCTCTGAAGCAACGTGTCCAGGTCTTCGTTGTCCCGCAGCCACGCGTCACCCTTCTTCACAAGGAAGAGCTGTAGCTTGTCTGCATCAACCTCTTTGAAGTCGTTGGTCTTCTTCGCCTTGATTGCTTCCTTCAAGTCATATACGGTTTTGCCTTCGTTTACTTCCACGGAGAACACGCTTCTCCCCACACCAACGATAGAACAGAAAAGCTTCACCATCTCTACACGAGGCGGCGATTTATAGAATGAGGGGAGAATTTCTGGAGCGGACATGAAAATGTGTGACAGCGATTTTCAACCAATGATGAGACGCCACGTCCGAACTATTGTACAGTACTGTTGGAGGAATGATTTGCGCAGAGTTGTTAGGGCAGTACAGAACTGAATGAGGACAAAGGTAGAGAGGATTAGGCGGCCATAGTGAAGAGGGAGTCTTGAATGTAGAAGGAGAAGACGCTTGTGTGGTAGAGTTCGTAAAAGAGGAAGTGGTGATTTAGATAGTCTGGTGTCCTGGAGGGGAGTTATTCTCCACCAACCAGTCCAGTTATATAAGAAATCTCTATATGATATAGCACAATTATATTCCCCTAGATAGTCAGCATCACATCGGAGATGGTTACTTCAACAGCCTCCCACATCGAGGAATGTGTATGATGCTCTATCTGTCAGGTGCACCACAGGTGGCTGTTAATAACAGTCCTGTGCGTACATGAACATTTACAAGAGGTAGATCTTGTTTTGATATTGACATTCTTTTTTCTTTGACTTCTATTGTCAGATTTGTCGTTTTGTTACCAGTTTTGGCAGGGGCTGTACAGATTTCTTGTTTTATTGTTATTTTGGCTACTCAGGAAAACCGTAGAGGATTAAACCTGTTCACCATAGTAGGATGTCGTTGTTAGCGCTTTTGTTGCACGCGTTTTGAAGAAAGCTACTCAGGAAAACCTTTCATTTTGAGGTGTCAAAACCTGTTCGCTGTATTGTTGGCTACTCAGGAAACCTTTGAGGATACACCTGTTCACCGTGTTGATATTAAGATATTTTGTGAAAGTTGTGTTAAACTTTTGTTCATTAAACTGCCAGTTTTGTGCTCTTTAGTTTGTGGATATTTCTTCACACTTTGAAATTTCGTATTTGCTTTTTGTTATTATTTGATTGCTTTTACTTTTGTGTGGAGAGTTTATAGTTTTCAAATATTTTTAAAGAAAGGCTACAGCTTTCAAAGCATAAAAACATCTAACAGTGTCATCGGTAGTGTACGCATCTTGTTTGCAGGCTCTCATCGTTGGGGCTATTTTTCTCCCTAGAGGCTCATGGAGTTGTTTCTCATTTCGAAGATTTTTATTTTGTTTATACTTCGCAAGTGCAAGCAATAGGTTTGTAAACTATCGATTCCATTGAAAATGAAACTAATGCAGTAAAACTATAGTTGCTTTCTGTAGACAGAGGCTTGTGTAGGCTTGTCTAAAAGTCATAAAGTATTGAAGATTTTTTCTTTATGCTGGAAATGTTTGAAACTTTTGCCGCAATAAATTTTTTAAGTTTGGCTAATTGAATGAATTGTTTCGGCGTTGTTGCCTCCCAGTTTCATACATTTCTGGGCGTATTTCTTAACTTGGTTAAATACCAGACACATGTTTGTATGGACAATTGCCCATTTTCATTTTATCTCTTTCTTGTTTTTTTAAGGTATATTTTTATTTTACAGGTCCAAAATGTAGTGGATTACCTGTTCTCAACAAGCCGTAGATCTGCATTTAGTAGACTGCTGCAGCTTTGCATTAAGCGAGGTTTTAGCTGTGCCATTCGGCCTTGTAGCTCGAGATGTACATATTTAAAATGGTATCTCATTAAGTACACATATACTAGTAGTAAATACACAGCTTGTAGCTGGAATATTTTAAGCACAGCTTTATAGCTCGCAAGTGGGGCATTTGGCCTCCCAGTATGGCGTGACACTACAGCAATGCTGCTGGTGCGTGAGGGCGGTATTTAGTTCTTCGCCTTAAATATGTACTACATGTACTTGTACATCATCAAATGCATGTACGTGTATGTGTACGTGTACGTAGAGCACAAGGCACTGTGGCCTTCTAGTACGGCTTTTCAACCAGCAGCAATAGTACAGCGCTATGGCTGGTCTGGCATCATGGCCTCACAACTCGGCAATGGCCGGTGTGGCACGGAATGTATGTGTCTCGTGCGGCGCTACAGCTCCATGGCTGGCGCGGGAGTTTCATGACCTCCCAGCATGGCGAATAACTACGCATGCTGTGCTACAGCACAGTGGCTGGAGCCAAGTTGGCAACGTGGCCTCACGCGAGTTGGTGTCCGTCGGGCGATTTTCTCTCCGATCTCCTTCATGAGCCTTGGGGCTTGGAGGCGCATCGTCTTGCCGCTTTCAGCTCGTCAGTACCCTGGCGAAGCGTTGGGTTCATAACCTGTTGAAGGAATGATTTGCGCAGAGTTGTTAGGGCAGTACAGAACTGAATGAGGACAAAGGTAGAGAGGATTAGGCGGCCATAGTGAAGAGGAAGTCTTGAATGTAGAAGGAGAAGACGCTTGTGTGGTAGAGTTCGTAAAAGAGGAAGTGGTGATTTAGATAGTCTGGTGTCCTGGAGGGGAGTTATTCTCCACCAACCAGTCCAGTTATATAAGAAATCTATATATGATATAGCACAATTATATTCCCCTAGATAGTCAGCATCACATCGGAGATGGTTACTTCAACAAGTACTGCACCCCGTTTTCGCGGGGGTGGACCATATAGGATTTGCAAATAAATCAGACACTCGCATACAAGCGATTGTTTATTTGGATTCAGGATCATCACATCCGGAAGTTTATCAAAGGCCCAAGGGCGCGAGAGCGGGGTGCAGTACTGTACTCGTCACAAGGCCTTGGACCAGAATGTAGCCACCTGTAATGAGGATTCAACAGCCCAAATCCTTTAGTAACAGTTGAATAAAAAGAGTAAGATCGGGTGTAGATTTCAAAAATGTGGTTAGAATGAGCTAATTCGCAGCCGTTTTTGCGCTACAAGACTATTTTAAAACTCTTTACAAAACAGGTTGCCTTTGACTTAAAGTTTGAGGTGGTCATTTGATTTGGCCAATTCCCCAAACCACATGGATTTGCGCAAGAAAGTACAAGAAAGTACGCAACTGAGCAGCAGCAAATCCGATTACGATTGTAGCGGATACGCCCGAATAAAAGCCCCCTTCCGAATATTGTCCTGTGGAGTGCATACAAGGCTCTACCGAATAGAGCCCTTTTACAAACTACCAAACCTGTTATTACAAACTTACTGACCATTTATTATACAGAGAGGAACACTTTTTCCGCAACAGGCCAAACGTTGCCTCCACTTTTGGTCTGGAAAGGAAAATATTCACCGTCTTTTGAGAACAAAGTCAGGGCCACTTTTCGTGGCACACCAACCCCGAGCTTGGGTTCATAGCGAGCTGCTCAAGAAGTGGATTGATGTGGCTATTCCATTTGTGATTGTGACGGAATCACACAGCACCTTGCGCTAGAGGAAGTTAGCTTCCGAGAGTCGACAAAGTCTCAGTAAACGGCAGTTCACAGGTCCCCTCTTTATTGTAACGAGCCAGGTATTTACCCCGTCACTTGCTTACAGTATAGTGTTGAGGAAGCTCGCAACAGGACGACTAAGTCTTAGGTCTAAGGAAAAATCAACTCCGACTTTATTTTAGGACCAATGCCACAGCCCTGGCCACTCAAATACACGTCATAGTTCAATTGGCTAATAATGGATCTGGCTCCCCATATATCAGCCAATGGCATGACAGCATTTCAGCACACGCTAGTCGTGTGCTGATGCGCCTACTTATGTAAACAAATCTACCTACCTATGTAATGGAGGCCCATTACATTAACCCCCCCCCCTCTCTCTTAAAGCTGCACTTACGCAACATAAGCGCTGATGAAGAACTTTGGAGAAGATGGCTGGAGCGGCGGAGACGGCAGCGGCGACACTCGTGGCATTAAGCCAATGGCGTATCAACAAGAGACACCGCGCTCGGCAGCGAGCATGCAGAGCGAGAAGTTATCTCAGACAACAGCTTGGAGGCCACTGGCGCTGGTGTCGATACACGTGGGCTTCGAGAAGCCAGGCGAGGTTGTGGTGGAGTGGAGCTTGGACCTTTGGAATTGTCCTCGAAATCTCTGCGACGTTGTGTCCGAGCGGGTAACACACGCGCAGTACGCGTGAGTTCGATTCCCACGGAGATCAAACTCCGCGGCGAGTGCACGTGCAAGTATTTTTACCAGGGAACTCTGGCACGATGATCACCATAGACGCAAAGACTGAGCGCTGACTGGAGACCTCCTTGTGCTTGGGGATACACCCATCGTGGGACTTCCACGATGTTCTAGCAGACACGAGGATCACGAAGACAGCGCACGAGGTACTTAAGACCGCGAATACGGGGACGACAGCCACTTCACTCAGTTGACTGAGCGATGATGTGCGACTGCATGGCGAACGGAGAAGTATCCTGTAGACCCAGGCGACTTCGACGTTGGAATATAGGTGACCTGCGAGCTTGGGTTTCACTCGTCGTCGTGGAACCTCGCGTCAACCACGCACGCACTCACTCACTCACTCACTTGTTCACTCGGCTTACTCACCGAGTGGCCCAGCGGTACAGTGCCGAGTTCTCGTGTAGCTGGTCACCGGTTCAATCCCGGCGTCGACTCCAGTTATCTTCTTAATCATCACGGCGAGTGCCTCCGTGTACCCGCGGAGGCTGGTCGCCTTCTTCACCGCGGGTATCAACACCCGGCTCACTCACGCTTCGAAACGTGAGTGTCTTCTCGTATTCGTTTACAATGTCGGGAACGTCTTCCAGCAAGCGACTGCGCGGCTCCCAAGTATCTTCACCTGGGAAGAGTCCCAGCCAATGCACGCGATAGTGTTGTTCCTTGTCTGCTTCAGTGTGACCGTCACGGATACCGTGACACTGGCGAAGGTCGTGGTCGACGATTCGCTCAACGATCCAACGCTGAGCGCCTGAAGAATCGATCAAAGGAGGAGGACCATCTCGCTGGAAAGTTGCCGCGTCACTCGAGGACGAATCAGCGTCCGGGATCTCGGACGGACGGTACTTCTTTAAACGTCCGACGTAAAACGTCGGATGTAGTCGTAGTGTCGAAGGAATGTCAAGAGTCTAAGCGTCACCAATGGTCTTGATCAC